TGATAGAGTCTTGCTCAGTCATCCTGGATAGAGTGCCATGGCGTCACAGTTCACAGTAACCTCAAAATCCTGGGCTCAAGCAATCCTTTTGCCTTAGCCTCCTGAGTAGCTGGAATGATAGGCACCGGGCACTACACCTTGCTGGTGTTTTATCTATTTTTAATTTTAATTTTTTTGAGACAAGAATCTCATGTAGTCACCCTGGGTAGAGTGCCCTGGGGTCATGGCTCGTAGCAACCTCAAATTCCTGTGTTAGAGTGATCCTCTTGCCTTAGCCTTCACAGTAGCTGAGACTATAGGTGCCTGCCACATGTTTTTAGTAGAGACAGGGTCTCGCTCTTGCTCAGGCTGGTCTCAAACTTCTGACTCAAGTGATCTACCTGCCTTGGCCTCTCTAAGTGCCAGGATTACAGGTGTGAGCCATTGTGCCCTGCCATTGATAGAGTATTCTAAGGTCAGGGCAGTGGAAAAAAAATGAAGGTACACCATGATTCTGCTTCTGATTCTGAAATCCAGTGACAGGATTGCATACTATAAACTCCATGCAGTAGGGCTCATACCTATTTGCTGGTCTCTGCTGGCAGCAGCGCCGCTCCCCTTCCAGAACATAACATTGATGACCATGTTACAGAAAAGCAGTGTCATGCAGCAAGACAGCCGCTGGACCCTCGTGAACTGGTTCCAGGGATGCCGAGTCACAACTGAGAGCCACAAGTGATCCTGGGTGAACTTTTCCACAATCATGAAGGAAAATGTGTGTCTAAAAAGATAAATTAGAACAGGAAAAACATAAGGTTCAGTTTCAAAGTGCTCTAGGCCAGGCATGGTGGCTCACAACTGTAATCCTAACACTCTGGGAGTCCAAGGCGAGAGGATCCCATGAGGTTAGGAGTTTGAGACCAGCCTGAGCAAGACCCAGACTCTACTAAAAAAGTTAGCTGGGCGCTATGGCTGGCACCTGTAATCTCAGCTACTCAGGAGGCCAAGTCAGGAGGATCCCTTGAGCCTAGGAGTTTAAGGTTGTTGTGAGCTAGGCTGAGGCCAGGGCACTCTAGCCTGGGAAATAAAGGATAAACAGTTTTTGAGGACAAGGATAATTTACATTGTATAAAAAAAAAAATTTAAAATTTTAGGGCGGCACCTGTGGCTCAGTGAGTAGGGCGCTGGCCCCATATACCAAGGATGGCGGGTTCAAACCTGGCCCCGGCCAAACAGCAGCAAAAAAATAGCCCTGTGTTGTGGCAGATGCCTATAGT